CGGCTTGGCTGTGAGTGACCCGCCGCCGCCACTGCGGCCACGGGACCGGGATCGGGACCGGATCAGGCCTGGGCCTCCTCCTCTTCCTTTGGGGCCGTCCGGTTCCCTCTGGTCTGTAGCCTGATGGGGGTTGTCCTAGCAAGTGCTTGACTGAGACATGCTGCTGCAGGGGAATTTGAGCCTTAAATATATATATATATATTATATATATATATATGTGTGTGTGTGTGTGTATTTGTATGTGTGTATTTGTATACATATACACATTTATATATATGTATGCATATGTGTGTATATACTTATTATTTCTTCTTATTATTGCCATTTATTATGTTCATGTATTGCATACAAGATAGAGCATGACCCATGAACAGGCCCTCGCTGCACAGCCTCAGCCCCTCCATAGGATTCCCTCAGTGAATCCGTATGGATTCACCCTGAAGTTAACGAAACTGATAATCAGGTGATAATGAGGTTAATAGAGGTATCTTAATAAGTGTATTTTCTGGTGGCTGGTGTTGAAATTTCTGTTCCTTCATGTCAGAATATTCTAAAGCATAACAATTTTTAAGCCTGAAATGCTTGAAAGTATAATTTGTAAGTTTTAATGAGGGATGTTTTCACTGCTTTGTATTTGGCCATGAAGAGAAGATAAACAGAAGAAGGAATTTGCACGGTGATCTGTGTGAATTTAAGCAGAAGCTGTGATTCTTGCACTAGCCAGGTAGTTACTTGATCTTATCCCAAAGATTGAATACAACAGTACTGGCAGTTCTGGAAGCTTTGATTAACAGTTAAAAAAATATGTATGCGGCAAGTCTAAAAATGAAATTTAACTTCAGTACCCACTTTAACAAATTATTGAAAAAGACAGTATTTTGTGTGTTATAAGAATTCCCAGTGACTTGCTTAATTATTTGCAAATGGCCTCTTAAGGTTGTCTTCAGTGCAGATAAAACAATCCGATTCTGTCTTCTATTTAGAGCAGAATTAGCTAATTCTTTATTTAAAGTATAAAGGAATATTTTTACTCAAAATGAGCATGATTGTGTTAAACATTTGGCATAACAATGAAATGGAAAATCAAAGCTGAATGGCCATACCCATTATTAAGGTCCGAAATCTGCAGGCAGTTGTATGTAGATCTCTTTATGTACTGCATGGAAGCCGTATGAGGCTGTTTGTCAGCTGCTACCAAAACTGTGAAGTCATTTCTGCCTGCGGTTCAGGTACTAGCAACACTTGGGCGTACTGATTTGGTGCGCATAGGTAGGTCACTGCCACTGGAAGTAAAAAAATGAAAAAAAAAGACTGTCTGAAATGGAAGTTCCAAATTTAAAAAGTTGCTTCACCATTGGAAACCTGACTGTCTTCTCTTGACAGATGCAACCGTAAATCTCATTTTCCTGTGGAAATCCATGTACAGGTTGAATAACAACCCCCCAAAGTGACTTTAGAACTCACATTTTCTGGCCGTGCTTTTATTGCCATGCTTTGTCAGAAGGATCCTTGATTGTTTCTCAGTATTTGTTCCGCCACATAACCAAAGGTTACAGTCCTCGCTGCCATAATGTCCTGGGTACAAGCTGCCAACAGCCGATCCAGTGAAGACATATTTGATGAAGATGCAGATGAGATATATATAGCACAGAAAGAATGGAATAGCACCATGAAGAAAAGATTGAAGGTATTTCTATAACTGTGGGTTTTTTTTTTTTTTTTAAGTCAACCATTTTTACTTCCTGATTCATACCTTGATTGATACAGATGACTTGGGGGGAAAAGCTAAAAATGTCCACTTAAAAGTTATTGTGGCTTAGTTCCTTCCGAATGCCAGAAAATGTAGCAGGGAGTTGCAGAAATTCTAGCCAAGTAGCCTGTTGGAGCACGTAGTAGTTTAGTAAAAGACCTTGGCTCCCTCTGTACAAGTATGTGCGTGCATGGAATGCACTGCTAAATCTGGATTCAAGCTGTTTGCTTCATAGCTGTAGGTTGGCTGCTAGTACGTGTGAGGCAGTATAATTAAGTCTAGGTACCCTCTCAGTGAATCCTGCCGAATCCTAAAGTGTTTTTTGAGGTCAAAACCGTACATAGAGTAAACACTCCTGTTCCTAGCCCTTTCTCTAAAAGGGCCACTAGGTCTTTTTATGTTGTGATAAAATGAAAGCTCTTACAACTTAGAATTTTGATATGAAATAAGAATTACTTTGTTACATGATAACATTATTGGATAAGAAAATTAATTTGTTTATAATCATCAGCAGTTTCTTACGGAAAGAAGTTTTCACACTCAGTGTTCTGTGTATTTAAATGTCACTCACTCCTATCATCATCTTTCTGCCATATAACTCTTGAATTATTTAAGCAATATCCAGCAAATAGAGCAATATGACTCAATAATTATTTCTGTGAAAAGGGATAGATCAATTATGGCTAGGAGACAAAGTCCTTTAATACTTCTGCTAACAGGGAGGTTTTGCAGCTTACATATTACTAGATACCACGAAATCTATATGATATACTCTTCAAGGGCAGGTGGTCATCAGCTTTGAAAGTAAGCCTGCAGATTTCTCTTATTTTTGATGTTTATAAAAGTACTGTCCTTATTTCCTGACCTTGCTGGTGCGCCTTTAAAAAAAAAAAAAATTAGGTATCTGTAAATAGTAAAGGAGAAAGAGTTAGAAGAGGAGAGTTGGATTTTGGTTTTCTTTCCTCTCTCAAATCAAAAAGTGACATTTTTAAGAGACTGAATGCCCATTTATGCGTTTATATCATTGAAAAGATACTTGTAGCTCTAACTTTGCACATTGTGAAAAGCTGCTTGCACCACTTCTATTACAGGAAGGCTATAGGGATGGCATTGAGGCTGGGAAAGAACTTGCACTCCAGGAAGGCTTCAACGTGGGCTACAGACGAGGTGCTGAGCTGATGGTCACATGTGGCCAGTTCAGAGGTACCCTGAGGTAAGTTTTGAATCTTTAAGGCTGAGTGGGGAGTGGGATTTTTCTTGTTTTATGGGAGGGTTAATTGTTGTTTAGTAGCTCAGTTGTAATACCAACAAATCTGGCCAAAGCTACTGCCTGAGAATTCTCATCTCATGTCATAAGTACAGGGAGTTAGCTACATGGTTACAGAATGGTCATTCTTAAAAATCCTTCTCAAGTTATTCTTGGAAACTTATCTAAATCTACATCTTTAATAGTTGGAAGTTTGCGTAGATACATGTAATCACTTTTTCATTTATTTTCTTTTTCCACTTTTCAGTGCTCTCTTATCCTGGTGTCAGCTTAATGGACATGATTCTGCTTTGAGTAAGATAAATCATCTTTTAGATGTGATTGGAAAGCATGAAGAAGATGTGCTTAAGTACCTGAATTCTACGCAGGAACAGCCACATTTTGGAGATATTTTAGATTTTGTTCAAGACTTGGATCTTAGTGATACAGCTCCATCTGGGATAGAATGTGATGCAGATAAAGCTGGAAAAGATAATCAGAGTGGCAAAACTTGCAGAAATAATGGTAAGGATGATGCATTGCAATCTGAGTGTAGCAAGGCAAAATTTTGCACAGATGCTGGACAGCCAACCCTTGCTTGGGTTAAGGAGCAGACTGTTTGGTTAGTAGAGCAACTGGGCTTATCACAGGAGATGCAACATCATGTCCAGCAACTGGGACATTAGTTTCTCTGTCTTGTGGTGTTTAAAACTATCTGAACTGGATTGGAGTGTGTGGAGCAAGTGTAGGCTCCTGGTTGACTTCATTTCAGGGAAACTTGATTCTGATACTTCCCAGTAGAGGTCATTCCCATAAACCTTTACCATGCTTCAGTTCCTGTCAAAAAAAATGCCCTTCACTTTCCATTTTAAACAATGCCTTTCCTGGAAAGGACGGATGATTTTAAAAGCTCTCCTGTGATTTACTGAGCTTATTTCTGTTCTGTGCGAGAACCTCATGTTTTACCCATGTGTTCTCTATTTTCCTTTAAATGGCTTTGTAAATGTTAAAACTGCAGGAACTTTGCATTTTGTCACATTCCTCCTCCTGTCCTTTGCCGTTGCTATGCAGGGAACTTCCACAGGCTTTCTCTTCCTTTCTACGCTTCTGTTTACACACCAGTCTTTGCAATTGCAGAATTATTGCCATGGCATTGTTTTACTCTGTTACACAGTCTGTTCTGAACCTGTTGGACCACTTTAAACACTTTTCTAGTCTCATAAATGTTGTTTTTGTATTTGTTTTGCTAGTCCTTCTAGTCTGAGCTCTCCTCCTCTCTCATTCCCTTACAGTTCCCCTCCTACCCACTGTGTTAAGGAAGCAGAGCTTCCTGCCTGTACATGCTCCCAAAAACATGCTGTCAAACATGGGGCTGTATTTGACAACTTCATATTTCTGTGCCAGGATCCTGTATTTGGCTTCCTTTCCTAGTGTTCACCTTAACTTTGACTGTAGTGTCAGGAAACCTTTTCTTTGTAAATGCCCATCTCTATATTGCAGTAATTAAACTGCTTTACAGTAAGTGTGGAGTTTAAGTTGGTCATAACCATCTTCCATGTCTGAGGCAAGGTGGGGTGAGGCTGGAGCAAACTGAAATTTTTAACAGTTGACTTAAGCAAAATCATTTAGTCTTATTTTTATTATTTTTATATTTTAAAACTTGGAAAAAATATTAGATTTTTTTCAGAGATGACCCTGTAACTTTCTTACTAAAGACTTGTTCTGCTAGATAGAGTCGAACTGAATCAGACTGCATTACTTAGGTACAAAATTGTTTAGAGAGCTTTCTTTTTCTCTATTTATTTAAAGGAGAGCTGACATTGATAAAGATTATTTTTCTGCTGTGTACATTATGCTACAGTCTATACCTACACAAGACATTTTCCATAAGATACAAAATAATGCAGACAAAACTAAGGAGGTCCTAGAGCACTGTTAGAAATTAAAAATGAAAATTCAAGAATATTACCCCTCTGTATTTAATAATATGCAAAGAGTAAATACCCCTCAAAGAAAATTTAAGTAGACAATGAACTTGCCAACTTCTCTTCAACTTCTTTTGCAAAAGCAACCTGCTGTTGAGAGAGTATTCCTTTCTTGTTTCATCATCAAACAACTGGTCAAGATTGTAGCTAGCATCTACTAGCATCTGTCATAACAGCCTCTGTATGAGCTGAGTAATTACTTTCTTTTGCTGCATTGCATGAAGTTTGTGTGCTCACTCTATAGGTGCTCTGGTCTGTGCTATCACCCAGAGTTTCCAGATCAGCTGTGGAAAGACTTTTTTCTGTGCCCTTTTGAGCACTTTGCTTATCTCTCATTACTCTCTCTTGCTCACCAGCCCCAGAAAGACTCCCTTCGAGACTATGAGAGTCTGGGATTGGCTCACAGGGCGATGCAGGTCTCTGTTCTGCATGTACGTCTTTATCTTCTGATTCTCTACCCGCTCCCACCTTGGCAGCATTCCTGAAGATAGCTCTCATGACAACTGGGACTGACATACAACTAGAGGGGGAAATGAAACAGTAGTCACGACTACAGACAGCACTCATGGTTCAAGTTAGCATTGCTCTTTTTAAACTGTGACTGGAATCTGACATACATAGTTTGTGACAAACAGCAACCCCATTTTCCCTGCATCTTTTTGTCTCATGTAGTCCTATAGGCACTACATTGTAACTACAGTATAACTAGGGATGTTACACTGGAAACTATGGATTAACATAAGGGATGCAAGTATGGGATTGTCTAGTTGACCAGCACAAACAAATTTTGATACAAAGGGTATGTTGTGGGGTCAAAAAGAAGTCCTAAGGATGCTTTTAATGAAAACTTAATATTAACACAATTGAAAAAGACTATTTTTTGCATTTTGTATGAAACAGGTACAGACCCTCTCCTTTTTAAAGCATTAACTGCACTAGGTTTCTGTCCTACCCTCTCAACAGCAGAGATACGTAGTTCTCAGGACTAGTTTCTAGCATTCTGCAAGTTAAAACTGAGCAGGCTATTGAAAAGGTTGAAAAAAAAAAAATCAAGCCTGTATTGACCTTGCTGTAATCCAGGTCTTGTTTACTATGCTCAAAAAATTAGTGCTCTCAGTCCTTTCTCTAGTGTATGTAGATACACTGCAGCAACTGATCTGTCTTGGTATTTTAAGTTTCCAGAAACAAGCCAGAAACAGTGTCACAGACATGCCATATAGACTTCCCTTTCTATATATATGTATATATTTATAATAGATATAAAAGCATCTATAGAAAAGGTAGAATCTCTTCGTTCACAAGCATTTCCCCTGTCAGCCCATTTTGCACAAGTAAGAAGTATTACCCATCAGTAGTAATGCTTTAAGTGTCCCTTTTCAAAAAGTTACTTAAGACACAGTAAAGTGATTTGTTCCAACTAACCTAGCCAAATGTACAATTTCAGTAAAAGGTTAAGCTAATGACACTGAAGGCACACATTTCCATTAAATGGACATTAAAGATCTATTCCAAATGTTATAAAATAAAACAAAAAAACTTACCGCTTCACAGCTCTTGAAATAAAGTCATCACTAGAATTTAGAGTTGGATCTTCAGGATGTAAATGAAGATTACATTGGATTTCTCTGGAGGTTATGACATTAATTATCACTAAGCAAGAACAGAGTACAAGTATTTCAAAACAGATGCCTTTGTAAACACTGAATACCTTCCTTTAATTCCAATACTTCAAGGGAGTAAAACAAGTCATCAGGAAGGGACCTTGCAGCAATGTTCTTGTACCAGGCTTGCATTTTCCTAATATACTGATAATGAATAAGATTAGAAGCTACAATTTATTAATTAACTGAAGGCCAAGACGGAATTAGAATTTGAGTTTTTACATGTTTTTTTTGGTTTATGCCAGATACATATAAATCACTTATGAAGTGTCCTGTAAGTGCTACTCTGTTTTTCACAGCTGTGCATCACTAGCAGCAGCCATTAGAATGTATTTATAAAAGAAAAACACAATGCAGAAACCTAAACAAAACCAAGATCTTTGCCAATCCAATAAAAAGGATAGTATCAAATATTCCATACCTACCACAGGCTAAGTTGTCTTTCACAGGATGAGGAAACGAAACAGAAAAACTGGTGTTCTTTTGTGGTGTGACTTCAAAGTAAAGCAGTTCTGAGTCATCTAGAAATAAAATTACTATTTAGTGATATTTTCCCACACACATTAGACAGACACTTTTTGGCTGAATCACATGACAGTAATGAGGAAAAAAAAAAAAAAAAAGACTGGAATCTCATTGTTTGTTGCTTTGTCAACTATGTTTATGCCAGAAGTATCAAGACTAGGATTTTGTTGGGGTAGGGGCTGTTTTCTGAATAGTCAACCAAGTACGATACTAGAATTAAGGGGGTTTGATCAATTGAAACATGCTACAGGCTTTGGCAAGGAAAAGTCTGTTTAAAGCCCAGACTGAAACTAATTTTTCCTTTAATATCCTATCATTACTTCCAACCAACCAATTTACCTTCATTTATGTGCTTCTCAGAGACACAGCTGCTAATAAGAGTGTTATATGCCATCTGATGTCGAAGAACCTCTATTATGCCAGGCACACATTTTGGATGAGTAAATGGGATTTTACTAACCAAGGCTCCTGCTAAATCTGATTTTTCTGAGCCGTTGTTTATGAAGTAACAGTGCTTTGGACAATCTGGAAGAGACTGGAAAAAAATGTTGATTTTTCAAATACTAAAAAACAAGAAAGAAAGATCTGATATTAAGAGGCACTCGCAGAATCTGACAGCAAAACTAATTTTGAAAGGCATATTTCTAGAAAATTCCTCATGTCTATCTGCACTTCAGTAGAAATACAATCCTTAGAAGGAAGCTGACTGAGGCCTCCCACACACCACATGCATTTCAGTTTGGGGAATATGCCCCTAGAGCCAAGTGGTCAGGAGTTTTAGTCCCACCCATTTATCTGACTACTCATAAGAGGCATAGCATTTTAACAAAAATCTTTTTTTCCTTGGGAGAATATCTTAGTAATACTACTCAACTCCTGTACAATAAGGTAACTTTTTCCCTCACATCTCTCCTCTTAGGCCCTCGTGCTCCTGCACCACCACAGATCTCTTGGGAGAGGGATGTTTGACTAGATTATCTCCTGGTGACTAGTCTCAAAAGGAGGAGATGGTAATAAAAGAACTGCCACCTCTCCGTGTTGACAGTGATGATATAACACTATATTTCACTTCCAATTTTGATCAACACAAATACTGAAGCAGATACTATGAAGTGGGAACTGTCACCTTCAGAAGAGGGCAGGGCAGCAAATTAACGGGGTTGATATTAAGAAAAGATGGGGAGGAAATGAAGGCTCCTGTGGCCAGATGTCTGGGGAGCAGAAGACTTCTCTACATTTGCTTCAAGGTAAGAGTTCAAATTAATAATTTATTTTTAGAAATAAAAGCTTTAGACTCAGAAGCAAAACAATTTCTCGCTAAGCACTAATGTTTTAGAGAACTGCTGCAGAATTAGAATTTCTCAGGTGTATTGAACACAGAGAAATAAAAAGTTCTTCCCAGTTTATGGCCTTTATAGACCATAATTTTGCTAAGCCTCTTGTCACTTTTGCACTGCTGTCTCCAGAGTCCTAGAAATATACAGGCAATGAGCTCTGGTAATACAGAAAGAAATGCCCCTCCTTTTGTTGCCATGTTCTTCAAAATAAGGAGTTCTTCGGAAAAAAGAAAAACAAAAAAAACTTTGATGCTTGTCT